CCCCCCCCCCCCCCCCTTAAATGAACAATTACGTTTAATTCATTTTTCCCTTGTATTGTTTTTACTCCATTACCTCACGCTCAGGAAACAAAATATGCAATTGCGTTGACAGCACAAACAAATGGAAGACAACCAGTGAGAGAGAGAGAGAAAAGAGAAGAAAATAATTAAGCCTGTCATCACAAAGAAAACATAGACGACCAGCCAATCTCAGAAGAACTATATCTGTCCCCCACGAAATGAAGGCGACCGGTTAGAGACAAAAGTAGTAAGTCTGTCCCGAAAAAAAAAAGAAAAAAAAGACGACAGACGACCGACGTCTGTTCTAACAAAGAAAATTAAGAAGACGACGGTCCGAGACAAACCGACACATTATGTACTTTGACTTTCCCAAGAAAGACGAAAAAAAGAAGAAGACGATCGTGCACGAGTACAATTATTTTCCCACAAAGATAGAAAGAGGACAACTGGTCAGAAGCAGACCACAACCTCAGAATTACAAAGTTCAATCTAACATTTTTGGCCGTTTTGAATTACTGCGACCATAATGCCAGAAAGCAATTTATGCTCTATCTGCTCTTTCAAAATCGTAGAAATATTCGGAGTCGTTTTCAAGATTTTCAAAGAATTGCATTAAAAAAACTTTACATATTGCGAAACTAAAAAATTCTGAGGTAAAATTTCTAAAAACTAAGCACTGAGCAGATAGATCTTTGTAGTTCTGAGATAACGAGACGTCGCACGACAGTTTGTCTGTGACTCATCGTCTCTTCATTTTCTTCATGGTGCTGTCGAAGATACAAGAAGACACTCACCTCTTCCAGTAAACGTGTGACAGCTTCTATGTCATTGTAGGTTTTGGTCATCTGTGACACTCGCTCCGCACACAAAACTGGGGAGAGACGAGAAACAAAACAATCCGTTATCCACCTGCTCGGCACAACAAAGTCTGAAATCACACAATTCAATGACCGACATTCAACATTTCATAACGGCAGATAGCTTGTGTATTAGGTAACAGGAGCTACAGGCCAATGGCTGTAGTACAGCATAATAGGAATAAAGATTCTGCAAGCGGTAGCTGGCGGGAAACTGAACAACCCGTGTTCTTCCATAGAACGAAAACAACCAACCATTTGCTCATCCTTGTTTTTACAAGCGTTTTAAAAGCCAATTTTCATTCTCCATTTCATTTCTTTGTTCTATACGAGTATTTTAAATATACAGTGTAAGTTATCTTAATGTACATTTTAAATACTTTTCTATTTGTCCATTCGATGATATTTTTACAGTATAATCTATTGCTGTATTTTTTCATTTTTTATACTATAGATTATACATCTAACGATTTTCAATTTACTTTATACTACTGAGATCAACGGGGCAAAAAA